TAATCAGCAGCATGTTTCCAAAGACACTCTAAAGCCAGCAAAGAGTTTGTTGCTTTATAGTATGAAATGGGGATAATCAAAACATACTAAAATTAATTTTAAAAAAGAAATTATGACTGTTAATTTTACAGTCTGACACACATCATGAAGCACAGCTTTAAAATATCATATTTGACTTAACACATCTGATGCTATTTTAAAACACCAATTAAAGTTAAACAATTTATGCTTTTCATAATTAAATAAATAATTTCCATACTCATCTACTTGGTTAGGAAAGGGCTCCTTAATTTCATTGCGATAAAGTATAGTGCTAACATATAATAAAAGTATTTAAATACAAATTAACTGATTTTATTTAGTCATCTTTCTGCAATCAGGTTTATTTAATACACATTTTTCATTGCATGTCTTTTATTAATTCTAATAAAACAGATAAGAATTTTTTTTCATCGTACATGAAGCACTTGAATTAAGAAAAGAATTAATGACAGTAATTTATTTTCAAATGTGCTATGGTTCTATAATACTATATACACTATGCTCTAACACTAAAACATTATAACTGGAACTAAGATACTGAAGCCAATTTATGTTTATGGTACTGAACTATATAAACTGAATTTGCCCAGGAAACATGCCTGCTGTTGGTTTCAGTGATTTTGTACTGTTTCTTATTAACCTAAAATTCGACTTTTCACTGCAAGAAATCCCATTAAAACTCAGACTGATTCAAGTTCACCATAATGGACTTTTAAAAATTCATGACTTGAACCTGGAAAGCACGGCAGATTCTATCCAGCAACTATTATATCAATATAATTAGATCCAGGGGACTGTAAAAAGTAAGTCCACAATCTTCAATAACAATCAAAAGATGTCAAGTGTTCAAACCTTACATAACTTTAATTTTAAACCTCTGAAGTCAATGAAAAGACTAAGACAAATATCCGATTTATTATTTGAATCGATACTCTAGATCAATTATTGCATCTTTTTTCTTGAAAAACACTGAGTGGTTTTTGTAAGATCAGCATCAATGTTTGTAAATGGTTCAGAGTAACAGGAAAATGATGCAAAATCAAAATGCACAACTGAAGTATCAACAGTAATCATGTTATGATCAATATTTTCTAAATCAAAGGAAAGGAGATACAGAATTTGAGTGAATAATAAAGACTACCTTGAAGTCAAATTGTCGCCACCAGAAGTCAAATTGAAAAAAACTCAAGTCTGTGCTTATCCAAGAAGTGTTCCTTTGAAACAATGAGACTCTTGAATAACAGCAACACCAGTGTCAGTTTTCTCCATATAAAGAATTAATTGCTGCATGGCAACTTTAGATTTATGTAAATTTAACTGAACAACATGTAGGGAATGAAAATAAATATTAGCCATAGTAAGTTTGACAAATAATCACATTTATAAAAAACTCATGTGTATTACAGCAATTTGAAAAAGGTTTATGACTAACATCAACATTTTTGCCAGCATTCTTAATTCTTCTAATAAATCAGATGCAGCCTGCACATAACTAAATATCTTGATCAGACTCTGAGCTTTTAAGTTTTCCCATTACCTAAAACAATGCCGCCCAAACAGGAATATGGTTAGTGACTCTAACGGCAGTACCAAAAGGTCCAGGTTCGAGTCCCAGAGAAGGCATGGTTGTAATTTGTCCATCCCTTCATGGGAGGCAATGGTGGCCCACCCATTAGGAACCTCCATAATAAAGTGACCACTGCTTCTGGCCTTAGTAGTGGCCAATGCTTATAAATGGCTATAACCTGCCATTAAAAAAATACCTAAAGTAGGTTGGTGATTTTCTGTATTCAGATGCCTTATAATTGCATGATAAACATTTAAAACAATGATTTAAGACAAGAAAATCTGTTTTAAAAAGATTCCATTTGAGTCTTAAGAATTAAAGAATTTTTTATGACAGGGTGTGTTCATTTCAATCAGAATATGCTTTCCATCTCTAAATTTCTTCAACACAAATCTCACTTTTGTTTGATCCCATATTCTCCATAACTCATCTAAATCAGAATTCTGCTCTTTTGGAACATTTATTAATTCTGCTCCACTGATATTATTTGGTACATTTTTTAGAAGAAGCATTAGATTTTTACCTTTAACAGAAGCAGAAGTTAAAATAGGTTTATACAATAAAGCTTCTTGAAACCATTTCTTATCTTTTTCTGAACAGCACTTTACAAGCACTTTTTTACCCTCTGACACCATTCTTTGCTTTTCTTGGATTGCCTATAGCTTTGATCAGTCATTTAATGTCTTCAGCTGAGCAACTAGAGTTGGTTGATTCAACAACAATATTAAATTCAGAAGTTTTACTTTCAAAATGTCCAACAGGTAGTGCCGTGATCCCTCAGAACAAAGTTTCCTATGACAACCAGATAATGCACTTTGGCAAGCGTAGTGGCAATTTTGAACCTTAGAGCTTTGAATTCAGAAATTGTGTTAAGAATATCTTTAACACTGCTAAGGTGAAAACTATTGTTAAGATGAACTATTACTAAGATGAAAGTGTATAGATATTTAGCTTTCTGGAGCAAGAAATATAAAAAAACAGCTATATCATCTTTGAGGCTTGAGTACAGGAAAATTGATGATTTTGCTTTGTTAAACTAAATTAAAAGAAAAAAAAGCTTGAAAGTTAGTACAATATTTTTTATATTAAATGCATTACTATTTACACTTTTCACTGTTATTTGCTACTTATTTATGAGAAAAATACTTTTTTAATATGCTCTTTTAAATGTTTTAAATAATTTATCATTGCATGTATTAATTTTAATTATATTTAAAGCTAAGATTAAAAAATTACACTTGTATGACTCAAAATATTTATATTTATTGAATACAAAAATTTGGAAGTATAGTTAACTTGAAGTATAGTTAACTTGTATAGTTAACTTGACTAGATGAATAGGGGCACAAATTCATTTCTTTGCTTCGGGTGAACAGTTCTACCTATCATGCAAGCTTCCCTGGTACGAGAAGCAGTGGCATTTTATGTAACAAAACTTTAATGATTCGAGATTCTTAAGAAATTCTGAATTTCTATATTTTGCCCAGATTTAAATGTGAATTCAAAAGACTATGACATTCTCATGACAAAGTTGAATTTTCACTAAAAGTATGAGAACCTCTATTCTCGACTTTCCAGTGGAACAATTGTTTAGGGGGCCCTAGGATTATCAAATAAATAACAAATAGCAACTGTTTTTGCTCTCGGGAATGCATCTTTAATATTCTTTTTGCATTCATTTTATTTTTTTATTTTGTATTTTTTCACATATTTTCCTTGTATGTGCTTGTCATTTGTAATTTTCTTTGTATGTGCTTCTCATTTGTAGCATACCTTTGTTTTTCAAATGATGACTTTTATATCCACATTTTTTAGTTCAAAGTAAACCTCAAACTCTCTCAAACCACCACAGTAACATCTGGCTCAGAGACAGTGATTTCACTTCTTCAGCCATCTCTTCTATCATACCCTCAGAGGGACCTTCAACTTATATGCCACATATCTGCAATGATTTTTACTTCACTGAGCTAAAGTTGCCACACTCCATATGACATTTGCAGCTAAATTTTCATATTAATGTACCAAAATCATGTTTATATACTTTCATGTATTGACTTCGAATGGATCAATATACGAGGATTGGAACTTTAACGGTGGCAACTATTTATTTACAAGGAATACAAAAGTGATTCATGTCACCATGTTTTACAGTCCTCAATAGAGTCAGCAGTGTTACAACCGTTTCCAACGATGTGGTGTCGCGAATCTCTGTACAGGCCTGTTTGTTGATGTTGATGGACGGGTCTCCTGCCACAAGAATATCAGGAACATTTGAAGGAGGCCACAGTGGTTCCTCACTTAGAATTCGTCATAGTCACAGGCTTAGATCTGGGGTTATGGGATGATAAAGCACTTCAGGATATTGCTTGAACACCTCAGTCACAGCTTGCGATGCATGTGGCTGAGCATGTCATCAAAATGAAGGAGCGTTCTGCAGAAGTGTCACCCTTTTTTTCTCAAAGTGTCGAGATTGTGCTCCAAAATGAGAAGTCTACTGCGCAGTGAGGTCCTGCTTTGCGGTATGTGTAGGGAACCCATAAATCATACCGAGAATCACCATACTTCACATTGTGGGGTTCGACGAAAGTTCGTACGTCGGAGACCATGAGACGCCTTCGTGATTGCGCGTTCAGTTCTGGCTGGTACGGGGGACCAAGTCCTCATCCACGTAAAAAAGCTCTCATCGCGCTCATAGTCTCAGGTGGTTCGGGCAGCTCGTATCATAGCCATTTCTGCATTTCCGTCAATGATGTGGAACCATCGGAACAATTTTCATGGACGGTGTTCCTTCGAAGTGCGCACAGTCGTATGTGCTAATCCTATTTGTCCGGACAGGGACGAATAGTTGGCGGAGATCATGTCGATTAGTGCGGTAATAGCTTGCACTCTGCATCGATGACTCGGACGACCTGGCCGCAGCATGTCCACGTTTGGGTCTCATCATGCTTCACCCATTTGCTACGGTTCTGTAAGGCATGCAGATTCCTCGCAGCTCTGAGCTCTGATACACTGTTGGCGTACAACCTCGGCACATTCATTTTTATCCAACATCTTTTCTTGTTTTGAAAACATCCTGACAACACTACATTAGACGCGCGCTAATACAAGCGCGTTCTCGTGTCACTCGGCTGCGGTTACGTCGGCAGGGATGATTTTGCTGAGAGGTAAGTAGGTATTAGTTTCAAGTTGTATATGCGTTTCTTGGTTTGTTCGTAGCGTTTTTCGATGTGTTGCCACTATTAAAGTTCCAACCCTCGTATAAATGAGGAGAAGGCAGTCGATTTGAAAACAAATTTGGAGAAATTGAAAGCATCTTCCAGTACCTAACTGCTTAACACATGATCATTTATTTTGTGATAAAAATTGTTTCCTTCAGTGTGTTCTAAAACACTTGTTTTTCCATTATTTCTTAAACACTTTTAATCTTAAAAAATATCCTACTCCAAACAAACTTTATTTGGATCAGGAACCATAAAAATTCAGCTATGCTCTCACCAGCATTCAAACCACAGATCTTCTGGATGCTAGCTGGACATGCTATGAGTTAACCACAGAACTTATAAGGAAATGCACTAATTTCTTATATTCTCCCCTTCTAAAATGGTGAATGAGGAGAGAACAAGATCCAATTGACCGCAACCCAGGTAGGGATGAATTACTGTCAGCTACATTTTAGCTTGGGTACCACTGAAGAAACTGTTATTTTTTGGAGCAAAAAATGGGAGCTACATAACCTCAGCAAATTGTACAAAGGAATGTAAGAACTCTTTATAACATTTTTATATATTTTTTCAATGAAAATGACTAAAATGGGATGTTGAAATTCAGGAGAATTCAATGTTTTTATTATGGAAATCACTTTTTAATAAAGCTTAAATACATAGAATTAAGTAGACATTGCAACCGAACATGCAATGAATATATATAAACAAGTAACAAAATATGCGTGCTTACCAGACTATTCAGTTTAAACATGAAATTTACATATAATTTCATTTCTACCTCTCTATTTACATGGCTGATCTTTAGAATATGGTAACTGGTAATTTGGCGACATTTTGGAGGCGATAAAAGTTACTACCTGGGACTTTGGTAATAATGTGAGCAGTACTCAGTTCCGATTACGCATTACTTTGTGTGAGGGAAATGAGAGATCATGGGATATGTCATGTGATATTAATGGACGAATTACGGTTCTTTAATCGGAAAAGGGGGGAAATCGGGAAAAAATCTGGAAATTTTGTATTTGGCTTTATTCTGTGTTGTGTGAAACAGTGTTGTTAATTTTTGGATCCCATGGCCCTAACTAAAGTGAATTCGAAATGGGTATTTAGTGGGATTGAAATTGTAGTAAAGGAATAGTAGTAATAAGTGTTTTAAGGTTGTGCGAGATAGAAATAAAGATGTTTTATTAAGTTATTTATTTTACCTGGTACCTTGCTGTGAACTATAAGTATGATTTTAAAGATCCTGAAAAGAAAATTGTTTTATTAAGAAGAAATAAGAAAGTTTATCGACACGTAATCAAGATTCTGAAGAAGATTAGGTAAGTTAGTTAGTATTTTTAATTATTTGAGGATATTATTTTTATGCATTGTTCTAAATGTAAGGTGGAAAGGAATTTGGTATTATTGGGAAAATTGTTATTAGCAATGATTTAGTTTAAAGTAATTAGGATTGTAAGGTAATTTTTATTAATTTAATGTATGTGCTCATTTATATTTTAAGTAGTGTTTTTGAATTTAATTATATTTTAATTAAATGATAGTTATTTTGTGAATTTTATGTTTGTAGGAATTTGGTATACGTTTAAGTTGAAGTAAACGTGCATGGAAATAATTTAAATATTTGATACTAAGTATTTGTAATGCTTGCGGTATGAATTCGTTGGTGACGTGTATAATGTAATAGATGATTTAGAGGTAAAAGTTTTTGGATATTTTATTTATTTTATATGTGGAAATGTTCATATTTGGAAAGGGTAAATACTTTTTCGCGATCAGGTAATTTCATATATGTTCTTTTTACCGGGTTTAAAGATTGAGAAAATTGTCATGTATTTTCGTGAAATTTTTCTAATTTATGAGAAAAAAGCAGTGTACATGGATATAGTGAAGAGTGTGCGCAATGCCATTTTTGTGCAATTCTGGGATTTTTTTTTTAAGTAAAAATAAGTCGACGTGTACATGGTTTAGTGATATTTTAATTAAATGATAGTTATTTTGTGAATTTTATGTTTGTAGGAATTTGGTATACGTTTAAGTTGAAATAAACGTGCATGGAAATAATTTAAATATTTGATACTAAGTATTTGTAATGCTTGCGGTATGAATTCGTTGGTGACGTGTATAATGTAATAGATGATTTAGAGGTAAAAGTTTTTGGATATTTTATTTATTTTATATTGTGGAAATGTTCATATTTGGAAAGGGTAAATACTTTTTCGCGATCAGGTAATTTCATATATGTTCTTTTTACCGGGTTTTTAAAGATTGAGAAAATTGTCATGTATGTATTTTATTTTCGTGAAATTTTTCTAATTTATGAGAAAAAAGCAGTGTACATGGATATAGTGAAGAGTGTGCGCAATGCCATTTTTGTGCAATTCTGGGATGTTTTTTTAAGTAAGTAAAAATAAGTCGGCGTGTACATGGTTTATGTGTATGTGTTATTTTGAAAAACGCGTAAGGAGTATGGTATTGTGCACACTTTTTCCCAATTTTGCAGTGAATATTTGTCATGATTAAGCAGTTTTGTTAGATAAAATTTCTAGCATAAGTGTAATTCGGCTAGTAGATTGTTGGAAGAAGTGTTCAGTAGATAAAAAGAAAAGAAACATGTCTTTACTTCGTGAAGACAAATGGGGAAAAAAAAATAGAGGGTTGCTGTAGAGTTGGTCGCCAAAATCGCCAAGTTACCATAATGTAAAGATCAACCAATACTCTTGAAACAATTATAGCCGAATTACAATATAAAATGTATGCAACAAAACTCATTAATTCATGAAAATATTATACAATTGGAAAAAATTAAATCAAAGACGAAACTAGTATTTTTTTCCAAGCAACTTTGTCACGCCGCAAAGTTTTGGTGAACTAGTCCACGACCAACAATACATGGATTGATACATTTCACTTACTAACCACTTATCACATGATTTTGTTCATTAGGATGAACACCTGACAAAATGCAATGCAAAATAAAAATTTTTCTACAATATTAAAAGCTTTTTAAGTAAGAAACGCACATATCATACTTATATTGAAATTATTATACAACTACAAATCTAAAAATTAATCATTATCAAAAGAGAGTTTCTCATTCTTTCTGTATTGCACACCAGAGATGGATCACCGCAAGCCATAAATACTTAGTATCAAAGTGCTGTAAATTTTTTTTTTTTGGGGGGGGGAATGAGCATATACCTTCTTTTCAAATAACTAACAAAAAAAGTCAAAAGCATTGACATCATCTTGACGAACATAAAAAAAAAAAAAAAATCTTTCCAGAAACTTATTTGATCTGTAATTTAATTAGAGATTTTCAATCATTTTTTTGAAAAACAATTGGGTTCGTTTTATCATTCACATTTATTTCAAAATTAAAAAATATACCTTACATAAAACTCCAGTTTATGAAATAAATTCTTTCTCCTGTTTTGAAACACAAATGATAAAAATATTTTTTAAATAATTTTCATCATTTATTTTTATTTGTAGATATAGCTGAAATATAAAACAGAAGGGATGTTATTTTCTCAAACTGGAATCACTGCCCGTTTCAAAGCAGATACAAACAATCACATGATAATGGTATTTTGTGTAACTCCCCTTTTTTTTTCTTTCTGTATGTACAAAATTATTTACAAAGAAATTAATCCAGCCATTTATGTGTTACTCATAGAAACTAGCTCTTTGTTTTCATTAATTTTATTACTATGTATAACATAATTTCTTTCCACCACAAATATTTTCCTTTAATATATAAATCAATAGAATTAAGGCAGTTATATATTGATACTGCATTGAAATTGAATTCTTAGAAACCATTTTGAATTAGTTATTTTTCTTATCATTTAATAATGAATTTATTTTTTTTATTTTCAAAAGACAATAAGTCACAGTTTACTCTTTCGGGAAAATTCTTTAAAGTATTAACACTAATAAACCCATAAATTATTTGGTACTATTCGGTTCGAGGGCTTTAAAAAATCACCAAACTATTGTTGATGCCAAAAATAATGGGCAAGAAAGGGAGTATAATAGTAAATAACTATTTAAGATTGATTTTTAATTATGAAAGTTTAATTCATAAAATTTTTATTATATAATTTTATGAAAAAGGCTAAAATGACTGAATGGAAACATAAGAGAAATAACTATATCAGATCATTATTATAATTTATATAAAATTGCTAAAATAACGAATGGATGTCTGCATCGCGCTACTGACATATTGCTAGCATAATTCATCTCGTTGTTGTTTCAAACGTAATGTCTATAAAGAATGATGCCTTTCTTTGAAAATATTCTTGGTAAAGTGCAAAATCCTCACTTATTTGTTTGCCGCTTTTACAAGGGTAAAACACATTTGATTTTGTCAATTTTCTTACTTTTTAAGTGAAATAGGTCGATATGTACAAAGATAAAGTCAAGGTGTGCGCATGCCATTTTTGTGCAATCTAGGATTTTGTGTAAAGCGAAAATAGGCATGTGCAATGGATACCGAGTATGTGCAATTCTTAAAATGCTCAAGCAGTGGGTGATTCTGCACTTACCTAAATTCTATTGCCGCTTTTCGTCATGGTCAATTCCCAAATTATTAAATCCATAGGATATCAAAAAAGGATTTAAAATCAAAAAATGATTTAAAAATTAAACTAGTATTCCAATGGCGTCTTAAGAAACATAGAACTATATAAACTTACGCAATCTGAAATCAGCGCATACGCTAGATTTGGCGCGCTGTTAAATGGGCGTGTTTGCTAGATTTGATGCTTTTGCACGTACATTTTCGGTGGAATTTTTTTACGGCCCTCGAAGCCAAATAGTACCGATTATTTCAAAACTTATGAGTTTGTTCATTTGCTAGCACTTTCAGTTGGTTCCCACTAATAAACAAAATAGATAAATTCATAAATAAAATAAAATTAAATAGAACTGTTATCTTACCTGCAGCACAGTATATATAATTTGGATAAAGCCTTGTTAAGCGAAGAGCTTCTTTACTACTTTGAATATTATTGCCACAAACTATTATCTTCTTCACTCCTGTAAAAAGACATACAACAAATTATAATTAAATCATAAAGTGCATTGACTACTCATAAACACTTTCATTTTACATTACTTCATACAGTCAAAAGTCGTTAATTCGGACACCCATAATCCGGACCTCAAGCTACAATCTTTCTGCGCATGCGGCACGTTGACGCATGCGCATAGGCGTTCACCGGTGTGTATAATACGCTCACGCATGCGCGTGTGTACTGAATTGGATCCGGCTTATTATTTTTTGCAGACTGTGAGAGCAATTTTGTAAAAGTAAGCTTGAACTTTCGAGTATGTCAAAAAGAATTTCCCATTCTGGAGGTGCCAAAGGATCTACAAAGCGAAAGCATGTTCAGATGTCCATCAAAAAAACTGTGGAATTGCTGCAAAAAATGGATAAAGGCATATCCTTTGATCCTCTAATCAATTTCATGCTGCTCTACGGGGGGGGTGACGACGTAGCGCACAATGAACTGGAAGTTGATCTGTCAGCATTATCCTTATATTCAGAGTACATGTTTTTATTTTATTCGGCTTATAATTCCTTGCTAAATGTAGTATTTCATCTCGATGTACTCCGTCTCTGATATGATTTAAATCAATTCCTTGTCATTATAATTCGCTTCCGATAGTGAAGAAGCGATACCGAGTTTTTAATGAAAAACGTTTTGTTTTAAAATGAAAACATTTCATTTTAAAACGAAAAAATTTCGATTGACAATTAGTCGGGTATTCTCGACACAGCAATTCAGAACTGAAAACAACTTTGTAACTAAACAAGAAATTATGTCTGGCTACAGAATTAAAGAGAAAGTGTAAACATAAAATGTACACAAAAAAGAGCAACTTACATTGAAAGAAATGTTTAATAAAGTAAACAAATAAATAGTAAAGCTTTTTTTTTTTTTTTTTTTCCCTGTAAATTTTGATACCGTTTAGATGAAATAAGGGAACTTCATGCTGCGAACATTTATGGTTCATATTTTTAATTTTATAATTTCTGCATGCCATCTTACCAGATTTAAACTGATGATCTATAATCCAGAAACGCCGAGGTCCCGACGAGTCCGGATTAACGACTTTTGACTGTATATACTTCTTATAAAGTAATTGCAAATATTTCAGAAAACTTTTTGTCTGAATGAAAATATTTTTCTATGCAAATATTTTTAATAATTTTTAACTGATGATCTATAATCCGAAAAAATCGATAATCCGGAATCACCGAAGTCCCTACGAGTCCGGATTAATGACTTTTGACTGTACATAATAAGGTCCAAATGTATAAATAATAAGAAATATTATGAAAAATTATAATGTATAGGCTTCTAAATATTCTATATAAGTGGTACTATTCAGTAAAAATGTAAGGTATAAAAACTAACCTGAATTTAAGACCTTTGGTTGGAAAGCATTAACCACCTGCCATATTGCTTAGGCTGCATCAAAAATTGTCACCTTTCATAATCAAATACACTTTCTCCCTCTAAACTTTAAATTATGTTAAGGATATGAAAACAGTATTACAGGATTTTTTTTTTTTTTTTTGTTCTCTAAAATAGTTTTACTGGCATGGGATAATCCTGCTACTAGACAAATGTTAAATGATCACACATAATGGTGGTTTACTTTTTATTTTCTTTTCTTTTTTGATTTAAATGGATAACATTCTAATACAATTTCAATAATAATTGAAGCATTTTTGAAAAATAACTTCAGAGAATATATTACTTGGTGGATGTAAAATACACAAAGCTTTCAGATTAACTTTGGTTGAGTATAACAAAATATTTTATATTGATATATAATTATATACAATTTACTTTCACTTCTTTTTATTAAGATTTCAGACAGAGTCGTAGCTAGGGTTTTCAGCGCCCAGGGACAACTGAAGATTTCGCGCCACCTACTGCTTGTCAAGGATGGGAAAACATTTAATTCTAAAATGTCGTAACATCAGTTCAGCGCCCCTTGGATTCTGTGCCCGGGGACAGATGCCCCCCTCTAGCTACACCCCTGATTTCAGATCACCATTTTATAATAAACCATTGAATAAAATACTTACCAGCATTTTGTGCTCTTTGTATAACACTATCAACATCACGAGCAAATTTTTTATTGGTCAGATTGGCACATACATCAGTTATAAAATATTGTCCTTCTAAACCTTCTAATACTGCTTCAGCACTATCAGCTGAGGTGTCAGCTGTGCTTCTTTTCACATCTTCGTTAAGTGCTGGTTGAATATGACTACTCATAGTAGGCTTTCTATGAACACAGGTATGATATTTACTGAAAAAATTAAATATGTGAATAAAATTACACTTCAGTACATTAGTTGATACTGGAAACTTCAGCTGGTACCAGAGCATAGCTGTAAGTTATTAATAAATGTCTGTTTTCTTGTTTAATCATGTCCTCAATGCTCAGCATGTTCATTTAAACATAAATATAAAAGAGGTTAAGAGCTTTTTAATCTTTTGTTGCATTTCATATTATTTTCTCGAGATCTTTGGAATTTACCAAACAAAGCAAAATTTATCAACTTTCTAGAATTATGGACTATTACAGAATGTCAAGAACATTCCACTTCCTATACAGTTAAATTATATAAAACTACAGAAAATGCATTTTGGACATAAGGTGTGGCAAGTTATTTGATGGAGCTAGTTAATGACATTTAAAGCAACTAATACAATATATATATGTTGTTGGTACCAGTGTTTAATAACAGGCAAACATTTTCTGGAAGACTGAATTGGATTAGATTTATTATATTACATTAAAGCATACAAGAGCTATCTGCCTCAGGGAAAAGATGCTTTCATGGAAGACTTTTTAAGGGAAACTGGCTCAACTTACATTGCACTTTCAGAAAACACTTGTCCAAAAGGTCTGCATCTCGTGGATAACACTTTTATGGATTGGAATCTTTGAGAAGACTGTATTGGAGAACTAAAGTTTGTCATATAAAATCTACAATATCTACATAATTGCCAAAATTACCTTGGTCCCAAATGAAGTTTCCAATAATGGGTAAAATCAATGTTAAATTTTTCAAAATTATCAAATTTCAGCTACTCAAATTTAGTAAAGCAAAGGGCAAATTATATGCAAAACTGAAATACCGACTAACTAATATGTCAATTTTTAAGTGGTAAAAAATGTATACAATAGAAGTTACTTAAAACTAAAAAAATAGAGACAGAAGAAAAGATGTCAGGAAAAAATAAATACAAATGATAATAAATTATCCATATATTTAAGAAATACAGTGTAATAAATTTTGCACAGTCTAATAGAGTATAATAAATATTCTATACAGTCTGATATAATATAGTAAATAATACATGAGTTTACATACAAGTCTAATCTTTGCATACTTTTACAAATTAAGGAAGGAATTTGACATTAGTGTCATGTCCATTAGTCATGCTATGTATCACATAAACTTGACATACAAGCTCAACTGCTGGGTGTCATATAAGCTAACTCAAGCAGATAAGGACAGAAATTGTTCGGGCCTGCACTAATCTGTTTGAATATCAATGCAAGGACAAAGTTCTGGATCGGAACATCACTTGTGATAAAAAGCGGATTTACTTCAACAACATAGGCCAAAAAAGCAGTTGGTCTGCACCCAGTGAGCTCATCGGCAGTGTCGCAAAGCTAAAAAAAGCTGATGCTTTGTATTTGGTGGAATTGTCATGGTATTATTCAGAAAGTATACAGTCAAAAGTCGTTAATCCGGACTCGTCGGGACTTCGGCGATTCCGGATTACAGATCATCAGTTTAAATCTGGTAAGATGGCATGCAGAAATTACAAAATTAAAAATATAAAACCGTAATTTATGAAATAAAGAACAATTATGATCTAAAGGGTATCAATATTTACAAAAAGAAAAAGCTTAATATTTATTTGTTTACTTTATTAAACATTTCTTTCAATGTAAATTGCTTCGTTTCATGTGATAATACTTTCTCTTTAATTCTATTAAACAGACATAATTTCTTGTTTAGTTACAAAGTTCCGCTGTTCAAGTCCTAGAATTGCTGTGTTGAGAATACCGACTAATTTGTCAATCGAAATGTTTACATTTTCAATAACCTCGGGGTCACTTTCTTCACTATCGGAAGCGAATTATAATAATGAGGAACTTGTTTTAAATCATATCAAAGACGAAGTACATCGAGATGAAATACTACACTTAGTAAGGAATTATAAGCCAAATAAAATAAAAACATCTGCCCTGAAGATAAGGATAGTGCTGACAGATCAACTTCCAATTCGCCGAGTGAAATTGATAAACAGATTTCGGATTTCAAAACATACTTTCGCTTTGTAGATACAAATTACATATTAGTAAACATATATCGGAAATTCTATTTGACATACTCGAAAGTTCAAGCTTACTTTTATGAAATTGCTCTAACAGTCTAGAAAAAATAATAAGCCAGATCCAATTTGAAGATTAAGGAACAACGCAATCTGCAACATTAACTGAATTAAATAATTTTAGCTTAGCTTATACCATTCGTTACACATTAAACGCGCATGCGCACAAACATATTCACAGCCGTAAAGGTCTTACTCTTACGTGCACTCGTAAATGCCTGTGTGCATGCGTGAACGCGCAGTATGTGCAGAAAGTTTGTAGCTTTGAGGTCCGGATTATAGATCATTCCAGATTATGGGTGTCCGAATTAACGACTTTTGACTGTATCTGGAAAAAAGTAAAACCCTTGACAGTAAGAAGTACAGTGAGATGCTAGTCCATCTTGATGCTGATATCAAGGGAAAATATCGAACTGAGTTCCGGCACAAAAAGGTAATGTTCCATCCCGATAATGCAAGACCACATGAGTCTGCATTCCCTGGCTAGACTCTATATGGACTCGAATGAGATCCGTTGCCACATCCACCATACAGCCCGAAATTATGTTTTTAGACTTCTACCTTTTTTCACACCTGCAGCTACATCTTGCTGGTGCTATCTTTAATGCTACACAGGCCATCTGAAATGAAGTTGATCTGTTTTTAGATTCGAGGCCACCAAGTTTCTAATTCGAAGACTTTGATAAACTACCAAAATGTTGGTATTTTTCTAATTTCATTAAGAACGTTTTTTGACAGAAAATTTTTGTATCAACCAGATATATATGTTTGGTACTGTAGATTGTACATAAGTATGTAGGTATAGATGTCAAGAAAAAATTTCTTTTTGGGAAAAAAAAAAAAAAAAGTGTGCTTTATTGTCTGTGCGTATAGAAATCTGACGACAAAAAATCATCCAAATGGATTTGGAATAAATAGGTCAAAAGGGATATTTCTGTTGAATTATGATAACTAAAATTTTTTTTGGTTAAAATCCTTTCTTTACTTTATACAAAGAAGTACGAAACATCATTACCACTACATACAATGACTGCTTTACCATGGATGTGCCAGTTATCACAATAGGATTATTTTTCAATGGTAGAAATAATGTGTTCATTTTATACATTAAGAAGTTTCATAAAATATAAGCCACATGTGTAAGAAAAATAAGGCAAATACATTACAACATGCCATGTACGAATGTATTATATTTTTTATGGTACTGTTGCATTAGAGCAGTGCCAGATATAAGTGGGCCTCTTTTTTTTTTTTTTTTTTTTTTGCCGCCAATTTTCGCCAAGTATTGAATTATAAAATAATAATAGAGTTCAAAAGAATAAAAATTAAAAAAAAAAAAAAAAAAAAAAAAAATATTCTGTAAAAGTAAATTTCTTTTTAATTTTTAATATCTATATGTTTTATATGGTTAAAAAAATAACCAGTGACGATATTTCAAACAAAAACTAGAAATCTCAAGCCATGATATTTTAAACGTAAATAAAAAATATTGAAAATAATGAGTGATATTTCAAACGAAAACTAGAATTCTCAAGCAATGATATTTCAAATGTTAAATTCTTGAGCTAAGATATTTGTTGTGGATTTTTTACTCATTTTTAACTGACGCCGCTTTAATAGAATTGTACCCGTATTATCACCGAGATTATATATATAAAGCATTTTGTTTTGCATTTGTTAGCTTTAATACGTTTAATCAGCAAGTCGGTCATCCATCTGACCCATCTTGAAACATGGACCAAAGAGTCGAACATGTATACCAGTCAAGGGTCTTGACCAGGCCACGAATGAAATGGCCTGGTCAATGAAAGCAAAGGGGAGCACAATGCCATCTAAAATGGGATTCTGGGTTTACAGTGTCTAAGTAACCAGTAACCCATCTGTTCGATTTATCTTGTTTGGGCAGATCATGTGCGTGTGTGTATGTTGGAACCTGAAAGATAGTGAACTATGCCTAGGCAAGACGAAGCCAGAGAAAATGCCATTTCTGGCAGTGTTTATATTTGCCAAGTTCTCTATGGAAGTGTTTCCTTATTCACAAAAACAGACTGATTATTATGACCTACATAATTAATGGTAAAATATTCATAATCTTATATTCTGCACACTTGAGAAAGTTCTTTCAGTACAATTTGATTAGACACAGAACAAAATTAACCATCCATTCTAGTACTAAGTAGGTCAATTTTAAAACTCCATATTTTTTGTCACATGATAAATATAATATGATAAAAGCAGTTAACATGGATTAAAAAAAAAAAATATTTAATACCATTTATCACAACTTTGCTTGCCAACAAAAAAAAAAAAAAAAAAAAAAAGCATCATGTTAAAAACGTTTAGATAACAGTTTTTGATGAAAATGAAAGAACGTTCTTGAAACTACGCTTAATACAAAACGTATACCCCAATTAAATGAAAGTAATTACGAAACTTAGAAAAATTCCAATTTTATGTCAAATGGAAAACAATAAATATGACTAAAACAATTTAAATAGCACACAATGTTCAATCATTCTGTTACATTTATTGTGAATGCAATATCTTACTCATTCAAAAACTTCGCATAGAGGATTTACTCGTCAGCTGATGCCGTAAATAAATATTTGCGGTTCACACCATTTATTATTAATTCACGGAATGATGATGCCACTAAAGATAATTATACAAGAAATAAATAAAAAAGTAGGAAATGGATTTGTACCTAGCTGATAAATGTGTAAGAGAACATAAGAAAATTTCAAATTAATATAAGCATATTGATTGCCACACAAAATGCTAAACTAGCAAATAAAATGTTTTTTTATTGGGAAAATCATCGTTACAGTATTAGCACATTTTACATTAGGCGCGGTGGCAGGGGTATCGTTAACGTTTAGTTTGGTTCATGGTGTAAGTTGTTTCTTTCTTTTCAGAAACATATTGTGGGTATTTTTGTAATTTTTAAACGAAAATGACTTCTGCAATGTCACCTAATTTAACTGTAAAAATACACCCGGTTGTCTTATTTGCAATTTGTGACTCTTACGAGAGACGAAATGATTTTCAACATCGAGTGATTGGCACACTTTTAGGTATTTATTTACCTCTTTTTCTCAACTTCTCTTCCTTATTTAGCATTACATTTAGAATAAAATTATAAAATAAATGTTTGTTGAGCCCTTATTACTTTCGGTGCTACTTTGGTAAACCTTCTACCAAAGTAATATCGCTCTATTCTAATATATATGTGTAACACTTCCATGTGTACAATAATTTACGTTTGTAAAATTAATTTGCAGGTGTTCATGAAAAAGGGGCTGTTGAAGTGACAAATTGTTTGTGTATTCCTCACAATGAATCTGAAGATGAAGTATGTATGAGATAGTTTTGCTTATAACTTTAATTTTATGTATGTGTCGATTAAATTATTTATAGCAGACGGCCTTCTAAAGCAGTAATATGAGAGAGAATCATTTTGGTGAAATAAAATGTCTGAGCGTAATAAATTTATGTCTTATTTTTTTTCAGACACTGATTTCATATTTATCATTATAACTGGCACTTCTTAGTTAAAATGGTATTGGCAAAATTTAAGTATCGCCATGGTAATAACAATTATTGTACAATACAGGGGGTGTAGATTGTTGTTATGCATCTATGTACAAGCACATTTATGTATTTTACATACATTCATTAAACACTAGGAGTCCGTTGGCTTTATAACGATGATCAAACTTGATTAATTGCACTCTCTACGTAAGTACACTGCTGAAACAACTATAGTTAGGGAGTACTAATAATTTGATAGGCTTTTATTCAAATTTATAAAACATGTTTGCTCACCATTTTGTTGAAAATTAAAAATTATCTCTTCATTTTGTAATTGTAAATTGAATAAAATAAAACTCGGTTGATCTTTTTATTATGGTAACTTATTATGGTAACTTGGCGATTTTTTGGCGACCAACTCTGCTACAGCAACCCTGTATTTTTTTTTCGCCGCCATTTGTCTTCACGAAGTAAAGACATATTTCTTTTCTTTTTATTTACTGAACACTTTTTCCAACAATCTACTAGCCGAATTACACTTATGCTAGAAATTTTATGTAACAAAACTGCTTAATCATGACAAATATTAACTGCAAAATTGGGAGAAAGTGCACAATCATTAACTCCTTGCGCGTTTTTCAGAATAGCACATACACATAAACCATTTACACGTCGACTTATTTTTACTTAAAAAAAAAAAAAAAATCCCACAATTGCACAAAAATGGCATTGCACACACTCTTAACTTTATCCATCTACACTGCTATTTTCTTTAAAATTACAAAAATTTGTACGAAAATGCAAAAAAATTCTGTGAATCTTTAAACTCGGTAAAAAGCACATATTTGAAATTACCTGATTGCGAAAAAGTATATACCCTTTCCAAGGATGAACATTTCCACGTATAAAATATCCAAAAACTTTTACCTCTAAATTATCTATTATATTATAAACGTCAGCAACGAATTCATACCGCAAACATTACAAATGTTACAAATACTTAGTGTCAAATATTTAAATTATTTCCATACACGTTTACTTCAACTGAAACATATACCAAATTCCTACAAACATAAAATTCACAAAATAACTATCATTTAATTAAAATATCACTAAACCATGTACACGTCGACTTATTTTTACTTAAAAAAACATCCCAGAATTGCACAAAAATGGCATTGCGCACACTCTTCACTATATCCATGTACACTGCTTTTTTCTCATAAATTAGAAAAATTTCACGAAAATGCATGAAAATTTTCTGAATCTTTAAATTTGGTCAAAAGAACATATATGAAATTACCTGATCGCAAAAAGTATATACCCTTTCCAAAGATGAACATTTCCACGTATAAAATAAATAAAATGTCCAAAAACTTTTACCTCTAAATTATCTATTATATTATAAACATCACCAACGAATCCATACCGTAAAAATTATAAATGGTTATAAATACTTAGTGTCAAATATTTAAGCTACAACTCTGATATACGCCCTAATTTCACCAAATGTGGCGATATGTGTTCTGCGCTGGTTATTGGTGCGATTGCGTTTTCTATGGCAACCCTGTTGACGTTGAACAATCTTTCGCTGGAGCTCATTGATTCACGTCTGTGTCTGAGAAGATGGGAGGCAAAGATAAAATGGTAGAAGTTGTTGAATTGAATTTCGGCAAAAGGAAATATCATTGTGGCCATCCTGTTGAGGGGTAGTGGGTATTTGGAGGTGTGGAAAGAGGGTCTGGGAGATTATTTTTAATGACCGTGCATGATAGAAGTAGGGATTTGTGATTTTATTTATTTGTGAACCATAGTATGAATTTTCTGGAGTGTGTCTGGCTGTCATGTAAATACGATAGTGATTACGTGGCGGCATGTTAAAGGCAGTATGAAATTAGTATATCTGCTGCTCGAAGAAGCATTAATTCATGGTAAGTGCATTTAATTTTATTCTTGTTCTTATTTTGTAGAATGTTATGTATGTTCATTGGTTATTTAGTATGAATTTCTGTCGTTATTGTTGTTTTTGAAACAGAACGCTGTGTACATGGTATTATTTGAAATTTATTGTTATTGTTATTTTATTAAAGCGAGGTGTGCGTAGATCGTAAATTTGTTCATTGCCTAAATTGCACAATTCGTAGATGTTTTTTTAAGTTTAAACAGGATGCTGTGTACATGGTATTCTTTGAAATTTATTGTTGTTAATTTATTAAAGCGAGGGGTGCGAGTTCGTAGATTTGTTCCTTGCCTAAATTGTGCAATTCGTAGATGTTTTTTGAAGTTTAAACAGGATGCTGTGTACATGGTATTCTTTGAAATTCATTGTTCTTATGTTAATTTATTAAAGCGAGGTGTGCGAGTTCGTAGATTCGTTCGTTGCCTACATTGCGCCATTCGTAGATGTTAAGTTAAAACATGTCGCTATGTACATGGATTCTTGTCAAATATTTTTGGTTAGAAACTTTACGTTTTTGCTATCTAAATTTTTTGTTTTTGTTTCGGATTTTTAGCTTAAATCGTGTGTTCAAAATGTAGTTTTTGCGTGTGCAAAAACTGAGTTTTTGGAGACATTTTAGGCTTAAAGTTTGAAATATAGACAAAAAATTTAGATAGTAATATGGCAGCGTGTTGGCAAGAAATTTGGCGACTTGAGGGCGCATATCAGAGTAGTTCCATATTTAAATTACTTCCATGCACGTTTACTTCAACTGAAATGTATACCAAATTCCTATAAACATAAAATTCACAAAATAACTATCATTTAATTAAAATATCACTAAACCATGTACACGTAGACTTATTTTTACTCAAAAAAACATCCCGGAATTGCACAAAAATGGCATTGCGCACACTCTTCACTATATCCATGTACACTGCTTTTTTCTCATAAATTAGAAAAATTTCATGAAAATACTCAACGTATTCTACTCAAACGTATTCCAAAATACTACAAACATATAACTCACAAAATTACGATCATTAAAATATAATTAAATTAAAGAACACTACTTAAAATATAAATAAGCACATACATTAAATTAATAAAAATTAGATTACAATCCTAATTACTTTAACCTAAATCATTGCTAATAACAATTTTCAATAATACCATATTAATTTATTTACTCCTTATATTTAGAACAATGCATAAAAATAATATCCTTAAATGATTAAAAATACTAACTTACCTAATCTTCAGAATCTTCATTACGTGGCACGCACACTTCCACTATTTCACACAACACACAATAAAGCTTAATACAGTCAAAAGTCGTTAATTCGGACACCCATAATTCGGAATGATCTATAATCCGGACCTCAAAGCTAAAAACTTTCTGCGCATGCGCTGCGTTGACACATGCGCATAGGCGTTTACGCGTGCGCGTAAGACCTCTTACGACTACGCATTTGCGTGTGCGCAAGCGCAGAATACGTTTTCGTGTGCGCGTTTTATGTATAACGGACGGTGTAAGCTTAGTGTCTAGACTGTGCAATTCATAGATGTTTTTTAAAGTTGAAACAGAATGCTGTGTACATGGTATTATTTGAAATTTATTGTTGTTATGTTATTTTATTAAAGCGAGGAGTGCGTAGATCGTAGATTCCTTCCTTGCCTAAATTGTGCAATATGTAGAATTTTTTTTTAAGTTTAAACAGGATGCTGTGTACATGGTATTCCTTGAAATTTATTGTTGTTATGTTAATTTATTAAAGCGAGGTCTGCGTAGTTTGTAGATTCGTTCGTTGCTTACATTGTGCCATTCGTAGATGTTTTTTTAAGTTAAAACATGTCGCCGTGTACATGGATTCTTGTCAAATATTTTTGGTTAGAAACTTTACGTTTTGCTATCTAAATTTTTGTGGAACTACTCTGATATGCGCCCTCAAGGCGCCAAAATATTTTTGGCGAGAAACTCCACCGCTGCCATATTGCTATCTAAATTTTTTGTCTACATTTCGAACTTAAAGCCTAAAATGTCTCCAAAAACACGGTTTTCGCAAATGCAAAAACCACGTTTTGAACACAGAATTTAAGGTAAAAATCCGAAACAAAAACAAAAAATTTAGATAGCAAAACCGTGAAGTTACTAACCAAAATTATTTTACAAGAGTCCATGTACACAGCAATATGTTTTAATTTAAAAAAACATCCACAAATGGCACAATCTAGGCAACGAACGAATTTACGAACTACGCACACCTCGCTTTAATAAATTAACATAACAATAAATTTCAAAGAATACCATGTACACAGCATCCTGTTTCAACTTAAAAAAACATCTACGAATTGCACAATTTAGGCAACAAACGAATTTACGAACTACGTACACCTCACTTTAATAAATTAACATAACAACAATAAATTTCAAAGAATACCATGTACACAGCGTTTTGTTTCAACTTTAAAAAACATCTACGAATTGCACAATTTCAGACGGTGAGCACTAATCAACAAGATAACTAAAATAAATTTTTTGAAATTTATTCAAAAAAAACAACGATAACGACAGAAATTCATACTAAAAAAACAATAAAACATTAACATTCTACAAAATAAGAACAAGAATAAAACAAAATGCACTTACCATTAATGCTTTTTCGAACAATAGAAATACCAATTTCATACCTTCTTTAACATGCCGCCACGTAATCACTAGTATCGTATTTATATGACAGCCAGACACACTATGCAGAAAATTCATACTATGGTTCACAAATAAATATAAAATAACAAATAATCACAATCCCTACTTCTATCACGCACAACCACTAAAAATAATCTCTCATACCATTCTTCCACACCTCCAAATACCCATT